GGCCCATTTTCGTCAATGTAAGTAGCGGCCCATCGAGAAAATCCTGGTGTCCCGGTGGGACTATCCGACCCTGTGCTCTGTCAAAAATATATATTGTACATTGTAATTTAATAATAACATAATACGTATTGTATTTTTTTCCCCGCTTTTTCCCATTTATTGGGGAAACTCATTGGAAATCAAAAAATAAACTCCCTAAAGTACCACTCCGGACAAATTTCCTTTCTGACAAAATGATATCATTGTTTAATCGGAGCAAAATTTCTGGTAGAAAAGTTGTATACAGAAAAAAAAAAGGCCGTAATATTTTTTTTCCCTCCGTTTATTCCCGGTTTTTCAGAATTATCGAGAAAACTCCCGGGGAAGCCAAACAAATTATCGCCAACAAAAACGATTCTGAGTGCGGAGAAACTGCAAATCTAAAAAATCTTGAGCATATATAAATAAAATTGCATGGTCGTTTTTTGTTGACGATAAAAAAAGTAGATTCTGGAGTCGTCATTTAGGTATTGTCCTATTTAAATTATAAATTCAAATTGATGATAAACCCATGTACACAGCGTTGCGCGAGTCTATACACCCGAGCCTAGTAGTAAAACACGCATCAAGTAGATCATATGGAAACATTTACGAAACTTAGGAATACAATAAATCCCGGTATAGCAGAACGATTAATTTCCGTATGGACGACGAGAGCACCGTAGTATAGATACTGAAAACTACATTAAAGAAAAAAAAAAATTCCAAAATACTAGTTCTCCGTGATTTTACACTTTGTGTTGATTTGTTGTTATATTATCATAACTCGAACAGTTTGTACGTCGTTATAAGTTGTTTACTCGACGACTGCAACGTGTGCCGTCTCATAGACAGCGGCGATTATATCGAAAGTTGAGTAGTATAGGAAATGAATGATTTTAAAATGATATTTTGATGTTTATTATTATTATTTTTATCTGTAAATAAATTTTTTATCAGATTCTCTAGTCTAGTCTACCACTAGCCTACCAGCTAGTACGTATACCGGGGGACACATAAGCATTCCGGGTATCGGTGTCAACACCTAGGAATGATTGCCCGTTTGGGATTGGTCCATCCGAATCGTGTTTAAGTGTCATACTGTGTCGCTTTTCTAGCCAAGATCTCGCCGAATCTGCGTATCAGTGATGTTGACTTCGTGTAAGACGCCGGTCGTTATTTTCGATTGTTCCCGCATGAGCAATCTAGGCGAGTGAATGGATGTTGCCGGAAACACTAAGACGAAGCAATTTTAATACGGCGATAAGAGCAACATAATATATGACTCCGTCACGAGCGCAGGATAAAACACGAGAGCGGTTAATTTTAATCGGTGATGCCCAAAAGCATTTCATGTGAAATGTATGCGATACGCCCAGTTTAAAAGTGCAAAGTTAATTTGCGCATTCGAATTATGATAAAAAAAGCGCAAAAAAAAAAAAAATTGTATTACCGAGTACGATATTGTACCCGTCGAACTATAGGCTCCGGTTTAAAATTTGACGTTCGTTATTGGTTCTTCAGCAGGTATACTGTATATTTTACCGTTTGGTAAACAACGGCGATCGAGTCCGTTCGAAATCATATTAGTTTTATTGTACCGTATTTTTTCGTTTATTTTTCATTTTTCATTTTTTTTCAGCGAAACTTATTTGCGCCTATGGGCATTGCGTCTAGGGCGACGTTTTGCGTTTACGGGCTTTCCGGCCATTCGGATCGACCGATCAGAATGGACGTGGTGCCAAAACGGATCCCGAAACGCTCGTACGCTACCGGTGGCAAACCGCGAACGAACAACGCGCAGTAACCGGTCCGAAATCTCCTATACAAGAAGAGAAGACGATATCGAAAATAATAATATTATATCTTGGGCACATTCCGCTCTTGCGCGTACACCCAATTGTGCGTACACCCAAACACACACGCACGCACACACGCACACACGCACGCACACACGCACACACACACACGCTGGAACTTAACGGCGTGCGGGAGCGGCTCTTACGACGAGACTGTATCGTCATCAATCTTTCGCAGAGTCTATAATCTCCCGCGGACCGAGTACAGCCCCCCCGTCGACGGTATCCTTCCGTCTCTGCACTCGCTCTTCTCATCATACACCCCCTCCCCTCTCCACCCGTACCGCACCGGCCGACATACACTTGTATACGCTATACGCGTTGTTATTATTATAATAATCGTTTCTATCGTACGTTGGTATATTATTATTGTAATACGGCGACGACGACGACGTCGACAAACACCAGTAGCCGCCGACACACACACACACACACACACACCCATACGCCCCCACCCGGTGCCCATCGAACTCGACCGGGGCATTTTTTTTTTCGAGTTAATTTGCATCTCGGTTATAATATAGCCGGTAATAAGCGGTATGATATTATTAATGTAGGTATACATATACGATGTGTAGGTACTCGCAGTGGACGAGAGGCGGGCCGGGGTCCTAGAGATAGAAATGGAAACCGCAGCGAGAGAGGTGTTACGGATCGGTATTATTACGCGCGCGCGTTAGCTCACGGAAAACCGGTTGTAAAAATTCATATTTGGGCTACCGGACTCCTCCTGCAGCGTATAATAATACACGCAGTCGTCACCGCCGTCGATTGTCATGTGCGAGTGGGCGCACGCTGCGCAGCTTCGGAAATTCGTATGCATTTCCCTACCGCCCGCCACCAACCCCCCC